TTATAATTAAAAAAGATGACATGAAGATTACATGAATAAACTCATGATTCATTTCTTTTGACTTATCTATTTAATCTGAATTAAATTTAACTTATAGCAACACTGTGAAAAGATATACTAAAAATACATAAAATGAAATATGTAGTTCAAATATAAATATGCAAAAGTGGTAGAAATATTCCACTACCAATAAGCATTTTTGCTCATTTTTCTAACCCATCTACTTATAATGGTGGTTGATTTTGTTACTAAACATTCTTTTTATTTTTTTAAACAAGGTCTCACTCAGAGTTTCACTGTGTTGCCCAAACTGGCCTTGAACACTTGGGTTGAAGCAATCCTGCTTCAGCCATAAGAGGGTCTGCAGGCCTGTGCCACCATGCCTAGTGCCAGATCAAAAAAAAAAAATTAGTTCTATAGTAACAACTCTGAAGGCGTTGAATGGGATCTGGATTTAGACAAAGTTCACAGAACAAAATTTCTCATTATTAGAGGCTTTATTGGAGACTGACTTTACTAGTGACTAACCACCCAGTCACACTGGAACCACCCCTTAAAAAATCTAATAACTGGCAAACAGAATTGTATCTAAAGATCAAAGAAAAACATAACTTCATTACATCTCAGAAATTAAGATGTTTTGATACCTCAGAAATAGTATTTGTTCAAGTTATTACTTTATAATGTATTACAGAACTCTAAAGTTAGTACAAGAAAAGAAAAAGAAAAAAAAAGATAACACCGGCAGCCAGAGGGAATGGCTGTCAGAGTACTGGGACCAAGGGCCTTGAGCAGAGTCCTGGAAGGCGCCCTCTCCTAGGGCAAGGTGATTTCCCACAGCCAAGATGACTACTGAGCTGGCCATGACACTGTTAACTACATGAATGACACCAAGTCAACCCCTCTCATTCTTAGTTCCATCATAAATGGACTGAATGAGAAATAAAAGTAGGAATCTTTAAGATGATTTCACTGACATGACTTTCATGTTTATCTTCTTTGTAGAGATTTGGAAGGATCAAATGATGATACATGTAAAAATATTCTGTAAATGTTTATGTAAACATAAAGTGCTATTATATAGTTTCATCATACTAAAAAGTATGGAAACAGTTTTGAGACATAGGATAACATTCGCAAGACATTAAAGCATTTATGTGCCTTATCACATATAAATGAACTCAAAATATTAAAACTGAAATTTCATTTCTTTTAAAAATTACTCAGGGATGATACAATTTTCATTTTAACAAGATCAGCTGATTAAGAATTTAGAGCCTAAGGGCTGGGGATTTTGCTCAGCGGCATAAGTGCCTGCCTTGTAGGCACGTAGTCATGAGTTGGATCTCTGATTAAAAAAAAAAATTTAGAGCCTAATGAACAGTTCCTAAAAGTATTTCATAAGAACTATAAATAGCTTTTGTTTTCTTTAGTTCATCTCACGCACATATCAGACATTTTTTTTTTTTTTTTTTTTTTTTTTTGAGATAGGGTCTTACTATGTGGTTCAGGCTGGCCTTGAACTCACTATGTAGCTCAGACTGGTCTTGAACTTGCAGTGATCCTCCTGCTTCAGCCTCCCAAGTGTTGGCATTACAGGCATGCACCACTATGCCTGGCCAGTGTAATTTTTAAAAAACTATTTAATCATATCCTTTTTATACTGATATCACAGATAAGTCTATTGTACCTAGAGATTAAAATGTGAATTCTTCAGTATGGCTCAAGATTGCCCTCAGTCTACCCTTGCAGATCCAGTCCTCCTTAAATATGTTCTATTCTATCATTTCCAGCTACCCCAAGGCACAAATCACAGCTCTGTTATGTCAGATTATTTGTTAAGTGATGTTAAAGAAAAAAAAATCATTGAATGATACTTGTTAAAAGCATGGAAAGGAAGATTTTATTCAGGGTAATGAGAGTAGGTACAGGGATCACTGCAGTGAGGAAATCAGGCTGAAGGCCTGACCATGGCCTGGACAAGAGAAAAAGACAGAAGCGAAGGGAGAGAGAGAAATCAAGAGGAGTAAAGGGAGGTTGTACTGAAGAAAAAATGTTCAAAGTATGTTAAGTGCATGAATAAAAAACTGGAACTCTTTAAACTGTGTAACCAAGTATGTATTAATAAAAAAGATGTGAAACAAAACTCCTAGAAAAACATATTTTTTATTAGCATATAAAATTTTTTTGTTTTTTAGTATTTTTGAAAGAATAGGAATGCTGGGATCACATTAACTTGGTACATGGTAAAGAAAACAGTCAAAGGAAGGTCTTGGGGGCAGGGAAACCGAGTTCTCTTTGCATATGTAGTTTGAGAAACTTCTTAGCTATTCATCGTTTATTTCTGTAACACTTTTTTAATATTCTGATTCTACAATTTATCACACTGACTTAATCTGCCACATATTTATCTGTCCTTCCAATCTGTCCATAGCTTTTTAAGGCAGGCAGCAGTACTGACGTAGTAAAGGAGGGCCTTACACAAAGAAGTCACTTAAAATGATTTTAGAATGAATAGGCAGTATTGTAGAAATTCTGAGAAACACAAACCAACAAAGAAAAAATCTTTACATTGTTAGCAGTCCCAGTGACCTCGGTTAATGCTGGAAAACCTGTGGCACGCAAGCTGCGGTAGGCACCTAGAGCCTTCTCTGTGGGCAGTGGAGTCAAGCTGTCCTAGCATCAAGCTAGAGCTGAGCATTCAGGGTTAACTGCAGTATTGGCACTTTGTGATATGTAGATGGGTCTGGGATGCAGTTTGAGATATATATGTAGGATATATATATCCCAAACACTGTACCACTTCAATATTTCAGATATGTTTTCAGTAAGATTTTTATATCTGAAATACTCTATCTACATATTTATTTTTCAGGTCTATATTTCATTCTAATAGATTTGTATGATCAAAAATACTTATCTACTTTTAAAGCTGATTTTAACACTGAATAAAATCATAGAATTTTAAAGATAGAAATCAAATCCAGAGTCCTAATTTAGCTGTAGGAATGATAAAATTGAAGCCTGAAGAAACTGTTTAAAATTCTCCAATCTTTTAGAAATGGGGGTCTAGACACTAGTCATCAGCTTTCCAGTATAGGATTTCTACGAAACTACCTTTTTAATGAATAAAATGAATTATCTGCCATTTTTCAATCAACCATGTCTTCTAATTTTTAAGTGTTTCTATATAGTGATACTTTAATAAACTTTCTATGAAGGATGTGCCTTAAATAGGCTAGGAATACAAGTGATCAAAACAAAATCAGGGGTGGCTGTTTATCATGTATGAGAGGACTGAGATCGGATATATGTGGATGGACATTTATGATATGGATATCCCACTCATGACCAACATGGTCATAGAAGCTGAAGGGGGATGGAATTGTGTCTATGTACACCTGTGAAGTTTGCAAGGCTTGTCTTTATCATATCCAGCTGTTTAGTCTTTGTCTTTATTCTGGTTATTTCAGTGGTAATCCCTTTTCCATTTCAAAGGGCTTCCTTTCTGCTCTTTCCTTTCACAGAAAATGAAAGCATTTTATGCTTATCTATATTTTTTGGCAGGCCAATATAAGATACTATAAATCAACTTTATAAAAAATAAATGTATTAACTCAATCAGACATTTATCTTCTATTCCTTTAATCCAGAAATGCAGAATGAAAAGCTTGTTTCCAGAAAAATTTTGACCTCAGTAGAAAGTAGGAATTGAGTGATGCAGAGAAGTTCCCTCTCTCCTAGTCACTCAAAGTACAGTCTAAAGGTAAACCAAGTATTTATTTGAAGTGCAAAGAGTAAGAGTCTAAATGAGTGGCCCACAGCACACCCTCCTTTGTAAACAAAACTGATTAGCACTATTGCTTTAACTTTTAGTAAATATCTGCAACACAGAAAACAGACATTTCTAAGGTTTGAGATAATTATGATATAGTGATTTGAAATGATAACTCAAAGTATTATCAAACCTAGCTAATACATATTCACCATGTTTACAATGAAAATATATTATATTCACAGACCTGTGCTTAGTATTTTGGCAAATTACATTATGTAGTTTGAACTGCAACAATGTATAATGTTTACAAATATCATTTCCAGTCTTTAAATGACGAGCTTAAGGTTCACAGACATAACTGACATAGCAAAGACTACTGTGAATACTGAACACAAATATTTTCTCATTATACTATGAAACTTAAATAGTAATTAAAATGACTTGTATATATAAATTCCAAATACTTCACAAGTTAGAAGAGTGGAACTGTTCCCAAATTTCTAAGTAAATTATGTTGATCTTTTCATATTCAAATTCTTATAATCTCTGTCAAAGATACTGGTTTATATTTAGCCATCTTACCTTTCTTAAAGGATTCAGCAATAGGAAAAATACTGTCAAAATATATAGCAATTAAACAAAAACATCTTTTACTAGAGAAATGGAAATTTTTCTTTCATAGCCTAGGAAAACCTTGTTCAAATTAATTTAAAACCAATCTCCTAATATTTGCAATTGGATAGTGAAACTTGGTGATTCGTACTTTTGTAATTAGCTTTATCATACATTTTATTATTTTGCCAACACTTAAGGGATGTTATTTACTACTGAAGTTTGCATCCAAAATGCACATAATCTTAGCATTCTTAAAAATGAAAATAGGATTATCCATAACTATGATTCCTTTATCCAGTTGGGAAACAGATTTAACATTATTCATGTTTAAAGTTCATGTGTTTTGATTTTTAAATTATCTGTTTACTAGAGCACAAATTCAGAGTATCTACTGCTAAAAAGAACAAAGCTAAATTTTGTTTACACTTTGAATAACTTTTGTGATTCAAGGAAAAAATGAGATGACTGAATCTAGTGTAAAAAGTGGCAATTAGAATGTTATGAATTTTTATTTCTGAAGAAAAATAATTGTATTCATAAAATAAAAAGCATCTAAATATTTAAAAGACTACTTAAAAAAATTTGTTACAGCAAGAAAGGGGCTCACCTTTCTGAGTGAAACCAAAATGATGTAGTGTCTCTTCAGCGGCCAGCATGTTCAACTGCTGTAATTTAGAGTGCTGTGAGGAGGATGGAGCTGATGAAGTAAGCGTGAGATTTTTGTTGACCTGCAACAGAAATGGCAAATCAGAAAGTGCAGTGTAACTTCCTGGGCTACTGATGCAAAATCTGGATGAGAAATGTTTGCTTACTACCTAATCCAGGACATATGATAGGTCAAAAGGAGTCAGGATTTATAAGGCTATGTTTCAGTTTGCAAAATAGAATTTTTTTCTTAAGCAATACAGTGGTAATGAGAGCTAAAGTATGTGACAGTAAGTTGTCTTTTACAGTTTGTTTATCATGGAATTGACATCATTAATAATTTAATATAAAGTCCTAATTCCTGCAAAAAATTTTTAAAAAATACTCATTCCTTGACTGCCTTTAATTAAGGAAGAATTTATGTTTCATATCCACATTTTTCTGGCACATTAATGAAAAAGCAGGTACTTCCTTTTTACAGACTGTATAGAAAACATCTGTACTACTATTAAATCATGGTGACATAGATAACACAGCTGTAACCTAACTTGCCATGTAAAATAGCTTCCACTGTGTTAAAAATGTCTTTTCTTGTCTCTCTCCCTCCCCTCCCCTCCCCTCCCTTCCCCTCCCCTCCCCTCCCCTCCCCTCCCCTCCCTTCCCCTCCCCTCCCTTTCCTTTTCTTCTCTTTTCTCTTCTTGGTACTGGGGATCAAACTCATGACCCTGACTTGTCAGGCAGGCGTTTATGCTGCTGAGCTATAACCCTGGTCCAAAAATGTTACTCTTAAGTGTTTAAAAATACCATGACTGTAAAAAAAATATATATATAGCAGAACTTCTCTAAGTAAATATAATGTTCAAAGTACTGATTACCTGAGTAGGACGGCAAAAACATGAAATATTTAACAAGTACATTTTAAATATAGCTACTGCAAAAAAAAATAAAGAACACTTCACTAAAAAGTTTGAAATGTTTATTAAGTTCTTGAAAGACTGAATTTCATGAAAAATCTAGTCTGTTCATTATTAATAAAACATTCACTCTCAATTTAAAAATGAAAAACATGATTATTTTTGTTTCAATAATAATAATACAGCCTAATTTCAATGAAAATATAGAAATTCATTACAAATATGTAATCTGTGAATTAAAAGAATAAAATAACAATTTATGGCATATAAATTAGTACATGAAAACAGGTCCTTTGCTATCAGGCATGGTGGCCAATGCTTATAATCCCAGCACTCAGGAAGTAGAAGTGGAGGAGGAAGATGTGCATTTAAGACCAGGCTGTGCTACACGGAGAGTTCAAGGCCAGCCTGACTCAAATAACAAGACCTTGTCTCTAAAAACAAAAAAACAAAGCAAAGAAAGATAGTCCTTTTCCTTTTTATTTATTTTTGTTTAAATAAGCAAAATTCCACAGAGAACTTCTGTTTCATTAGTATTTAAAAATTCCACATTAGTGTCTTGTATAGAGCAGTACTTGGGTTGTATAGTACATATCTATTCAAGATCCTTTATCCGATTCATTATTTACAATGCACACGGTCTTTTCTTTCAAGTAAAGCAGTGCATCTTAAACTACATTTTTCTCTGGGAGCAAGGGGTCTTTAACAGATTCAGTAGAACAGTCAATTAAGATCATACAAGTTCTAGAACATATAAACTGTTATGGTATCATTTTGTAAAACAAAATAGTTTTTTAAGTAGTTAGAAGTGGTTATGTATCACACTAGTGCTAAGATGTCCAGCTTTTAAAATTCTCAGGATCCATTATTAAATGCTGAACAAAATTAATGTTGATAATATTAATACAGTACTTATGTAACAATGAAATCAGTGCCTTTGAGATTCATTACCCACCTTTAAATGGAGATAATAACAATGTCTATGCTATACAGATATTTTGCAAATAAAGATGAACTAGTATTATCATGTGCTGTTTACAATTTCACCTTGAAGAACTAAGTAACATATTAAGTAGGAAATAGATACTCAGGGTTATTAGTATGGTTTAGTGTTAGAGCTCGTGCCTGCTGGGTTTGATGACCAGCACTGGCAGGGGCAGAGAAAAACAGAACGAGACAGAGAGAGGAAGAGGGGACAGGAAGGTTGAGGGAAGTAGGGAAGAGGGAAGGAGGAGGGGCAGGAGGGAGGGAGAGGAATTATTAAATAGATTATATAGTAAATTAAGTCCCATTCAAATGTTATAGAAATAGTAACTATTATTATTATTACTATCATCATCATCATCATCCAGAAGTAAGGTAATTAGGCATAATGTGTGATGACGATGTAGTAAATCTTTCAGAGTTCTGTGCTTTAAATGGAAGGACTAGATACAAAAGGACATATTTATCACTTAACTAATTCACTGTTTTTTAAAAGTTTTGAGTTTTATTTCTGTGTTCTGGAAAATTTTTTCCTATATGTCAGGCAATGCATTTTAAAATATGGTGCAAATGAACAGGTATAAGCTGAGGATGTAACTCTGTATCTATATCTATATCTATATACGGTTTTAGATGCCCCTCCCCATGCTATGCATTTTGTAGTCATTTTTTTCAGGAATGTACTTGTGCTAAGACATACAAAAATGCTGGCAATGCTAGAATAGGATACATAAATGTCTCTACTCAAACAGAAAGATTTGCCAGTCTCATTAAATAAAATGTTGTTTGGAAAAAGAATTACATGTTCTTCTTAAGCATTTTGTAATTGTGTTCTTCTTGACAATTTTCTTTGGAGATTAGTCAAATGTCCATGAAGTGATCTCTAACTTGACAGAGTAGATAACTCAATTTCCAAAGTCTAAGATAACTATTAATTATCATTATTAGGTCTGATTTCAAATTAGAACTTACATCATTTTTAAAGTTAGCCTACATATATTTACTTCACTTAGAAGAATAAAAATAATACTGAGCATTAAATAGAGTGAAGCAATATCTATTTTTGAAATATATGCTGTGGAAAAGAATTGCTTAATAATTTTACAACAACAGAAAGGTTGGCTAAGATAGTCTACCCTATACCAATCTACCCTCTTTACACAACACATTTTTAGGCTTGCTTCATGCAAAAACCACAGTCTGCCAAAGTCAGTTTAATACCTCCATATTGGAGAAAACGAAAAGCATACAACATGAATGAAACTCTTCATAGGGAAAAAGAAAACAACATTACCTAGAACTTCTGCCACGTTATTCACAAAACTGTCTTGCCTATTCTCTTAGGGATAAGCAGCTTTATGCAAAATATGCAGCCATAATTCTCTAGGAGTAGCTCAGTTTTCATGTTAGAAATCTCACTGCTCCAAACACGAAATTTAATACAATAACTAAACCCACTAACAACTAGCTTCCCTTTTAGTAATTAGCTAAAATTTAAAACCTCTGGGAGAGATAAAACATTCATATCTTTATATATACTTAAAAGTATAATTATTTTAGGTGATTCTTGGTTTTCAACTGTAACTGAAAAGATGCTCATGCTATAACTATTTCTAAAAGTTCACAAATTTATGTCTTTCTCCAGATGTTAGTAATTATTTCTACCAAAATTAAAGAATAATGCAGTTAATACTTTAATTTGAACATAATTTTGGTGGCAAAAATAACCTAAAAATATTCAAAACATTGTTTTATTACACATCATGTATCTGATGTAAAAATTCCAGGATTAAAGACTGAATTAAAGAGCAAGTTATTTTTTTTTTTTTACAGAAAGTCTGAGTTAAAGTGAGATTAAAATTATCTAAGTCAAGTACCTTTTACACTCTCATTACATAAAAGAGTAGCTTATATTGCCATGACTTTTAGGTTAGTAAAATCTAAAATGTGAACAGATGATGGCATCTTAAGAAGAAATTCAAACGTGATCCACAGGCTGTAAGATGTTTTCCTTTATAAGCCCTGAAACAAGAGGGATGAGGAAGGAACTGCTGAAGGAAAGCTTTACACTGAGCGGTAAAGTGCCGAGAAATCTCACCCTGGCACAGCTTCACATCTACTACATTAACTGAAACCAGAATTCAAACTTAGAGCAGTCACTATGAAGTTTCATTTTATAAAATTTAATCAAGATTTTCTGAGCCCTTGATAGCTACTAAGGTCTGCTGGTTCAAGAAGACACAATTCCTCCATGTGAGGTTTAAATTTAAGATCTAGTCGTGTTCAGACCAATTTTTCAGCAATATGCCTTAAGTATAAGGCAACTGACTTCAAGGCATCTTAAGTGTTCTCCAATCCTTTGCCTCCACTGTCTCTCTGTATACTGCCCTACCTCACAGAAAGATTTGGTTTTGAACTCCTTGAACATCTCTTTTATGAACCTAAGAAAAAATATACCTCTTACAACTACCTCCATCTCTCTCTCTCTCTTTTGTTCTCCTGTCAGAGGAAAAGGTGCTCCTGTTCAAGATCAATACCTCCACTGGTTCCTGTGGGGACATTCTTAAAGCTCTTTTACACACTACTTTCAAATTCTCTACTGGCTGTTTTGCTACAAGCCTCTTGAGAAAGAGGCTTCTACTTTAATACAAAAATAAACACCAAATAAAAACTCTACATGTATTTCCATAACTCCTTTTTCATTAGAAAGTAAATTCCTTGAAGAAAAACACACAACTGCTATTCACACCCTTTAACCTTTTATTTTTCAATCAGATACAATGAAACTCGTCTCTACCATAACACTAACCCTGAAGTGAATGTCATCCTGGACTGCAAATGATCAAAATCAGCAGATTCATTTGGGCCTCTGATATTGTCCATTTCTCTTCTCTTTTTCTTATTCCTCTTGGTTATCCTTCCATATTGAGTCAGTTCTCACAAGTGTCATCTGCTAACCCCACCATGCCTCTTTCCTGCACACCACATCACATGGTTACCCTGGGCAGGAACATCTGTTTTCACCACTTTCTGTGTCACTAGTGCTGTTTTTAAAATCTAAACCTAGTCTTCTGACCACCAAGTTCAGAGCTAACCCAATTGTAATCAGAAAGGATTACAACTCTCTAACTAGTTGCCCAGACCAGAAAGCTGGGCTCATCCTAGACTGTTCCCCACTCTATATG